AGATCGCACGGATCGGAGTCCCGTTTCGTCGTTCGCGCTTTCGTTTCGTTCGTTTATTCCTCAACAGCATGTCGAGATTGACGAGAAAGAGAAGGCGGCGTGTCAATTATTCGCCTTCTAGGCAACGCGATCGCGCACTCGCCTCGCTTTGAACGTCGTCGCCTGCGGCGTTCTATTACGCAAAAGTGTCGATGTTATAACCGTCTCTCTCCCTCTCTCCCTTCCTTCTCCTCTCTTTCTCTCTTCTCCTTTCTCTCTCTTTCTCTATCTATCTGTCTAGTCTCTAATCTTTCTACTCCGTCGCTGTCCTCCTCTATCTCCCGCGATCGTGATTACTCGCCATTACTAGAGGCGTAGTGCGTCATTTGCTGAAATAATACTCGTGCAGGTATTTATGCGTCGCCTCCGTCGCAGTCACGGATGCGCGACGAACGCACGATCCCATTACGAGAGTCGTTCGAAAATACGTAACCTAATAGAGAGGTAACGCGAATTTAGCCGAATCTTTATTATCATTTTTCAGAACCTTCCTTTATTAGGTTAAATTTGACAATAAAGAGTGTGTGTGTGTGTGTGTGTGTGTGTGTATGTGTTTGTGTGTGTGTTATATATACGTAATTCAACGCACTAAGTTATTCCAAATTCACGTACCACGTTAATCAAGCATCCACGCACTTGCATCTAATCAAATAGAGGGGACTTTTCTGTGTGTGCACGAGAACTATCGTTCGCGGCATTCACTTTGGCGCAGTCACACTGTTAAATATTGGAGGGTCAGATTTAAATCAATTTCTTGAGTTAAATAATATTTAGTTATTTTTAACTATCATATGTGTCAAAATTTACTATTTTAACACAAAAAATGTGTTTAAAAAATGTGTTTAAAAAAACAACCACATCTAATCAATCCATTTAAAACAATATTAAGTCATTTTTTACTAAAACAAAGGTTACATTAACGTGCACATAATAAAAAATAAACTAAATTTTAGTCAAATTTAATACATTTCTTAAGTTAAGTTATTTAACTCCATTACATTAGTTAAATTAACGACATATTTAGTAGGAGCAGTGGCGACTTATAGGAATGGTTAAAAATAACTCAAATTGAGTATAATTTGACACTACGAATTTAACAGTGCAAACAAAACTTACCGACGAATTGCTCTTTATACTGTCATATTTAACTTAATAAAGGAAGGCTCTGCAATACGGTAATAAAGATTTGATCCAATTCATGCTATCTCTGTATTAGACCGCGTACTTTTTGGACAATCCACGTAAGAACAGTCTCTGCGAAGTCTTCCTTCTCTCTCTCTCTCTCTCTCTCTCTCTCTCTCTCTCTCTCTCTCTCTCTCTTCTTGGCTTCTAATTCTACGGATTTTCCGTCTGCCACTGGTTTAACCGTCCCATTAACCTTTGAATGCCGCAATTAATCGCAATCGAGGGATCGACTCCTCCATCTCTTCCTCGAGTAGTAAATGCTTACCCGCTTGCAAATTAACGCGATCACGAGGACTTTATCCCGTTTCTGAAATCACTACCTGCTGCCGCGAGGAAATTGCCACATAGCTCGGTAGCCAATGTACTCTGCAGTTCTGTACAGCTACGTTAGACATTCTGGGATAGAGTCGGCATAGTTTCTGTTAACGGACGGGCCGGAGAGCGTTAGATATATTAGTTTTGCATTAGTGAGACGAAGGATTTGTCGCGTCATCACAGCGAACACTTCCGACTATCCGTGGATTTTTTTTTCTTTTCATAACATCGCATGATGTGTTGCAAAATGATAGAATTGGAATTCACTTTGCTGAATGGCAAGATTTACTTTTGAAACCTTTTTTCATCTACTCGAGATGTCTACGAGACGAGAAATTTTGCGCAGAAAGTAAGGCTCGTACTCTCTAAAGTACAATTAATGTATTCTTGAAATGCTACAACTGTAACTGGTGGCTCAATTATAAGCACTGCAATCAGTGAAATCTCGTAGAAAGGAACAATTAGTAGTAACGACTATTCGTATTAATTCCATCGCTACCAACGCAGAAAGTGGAATTTCGCACTTCTAGTACATAAATTCATTACATGAAAGTGTAATGAATTTGTGTACTAGATTTAGTAGTGAAATCTTACTTCTACTGCTCAAGATCAGTGAGACATATGACGGAGCAATAAAGTGCGACTGAAAATCGATGAATAATCACGGATTATCGGTAAAATTCTCCTTTTACTGATTCAATCAGAAACATTTTTACTGACTCACTCTAAGAGAGCAGGTATTCAACTGTACAAAATGCTGACTCGATGAAAGTGTCAATCGTAAACAAACGTGTACGTATACAAGACACTATTTGCGAATAGCATCTGGTAAAGAGAAAGAACGACAAACTATGATTTTTCTCTGTGTACTTTTGAGACGTGAAAGACAAGATTTTAATCTGCAAAGAGACGTGAAATCGTTAAATGATGCGCAGTCATCGATCACCGAGAGAGAGAGAGAGAGAGAGAGAGAGAGAGAGAGAGAGAGA